AAAAAAATTTTTTTTTTTAAAAAATTTAAAAAAAAAATTTTTTTTTTTAAAAAAAAATTTTTTTTTTTTTTAAAAAAAATTTTTCCCTTTTTTTTTTTAAAAAAACCCTTTTTTTCCCCTTTTTTTTTTTTTCCCCCTTTTTTTTGAAATTTTTTTTTTTTTTCCAAATTTTAAAAAATTTTTTTTTTTCCCCCTTTTTTTTCCCCCCCTTTTTAAAACCCCCCTTTCCCCTTTAAAAATTTTTTCCCCCCCCCCTCCCCCGGGCCCCTTTCCCCCCCTTTTTCCCTTTTTTTTTTTAAACCAAATTTTTTCCCCCCCCCCAAAGGGTTTTAAAACCCCCCCTTTCCCAAAAAGGTTTTTTCCCTTTTCCCCCCCCCCAAATTTTTTTCTTTTCCCCCGGTTCCCCTTTTTTCCCCTTTTTTTTGAAACCCCCCCCCTTTTTCCCCCAAAAAAAGGGGGGGTTTTTTTCCCCCCCCAAAAAAATGGCCTTTTTTAAAAAGGTTTTAAAAAAAAAATTTTTTTTTTTTTTTTTTTTTTCCCGGGGCCCCAATTAAAATTTTTTTTTTTAAAACCCCCCCTTTTCTTTAAAAAATTTTTTTTTTTTTAAAAAACCCCAAATTTTAAAAAAAGGCCTTCCTTTTCCCTTTTTTTTTTTCCCCTTCCCTTTTTTTTTTTTTTTGGGCTTTTCCCCCTTTTTTTTTTTTTTTTCCCTTTTTTTCCCCCCCCCCCCTTTTTTTTTTTTTTCTTTTCCCCCCTTTTTTTTCCCTTTTTTTTAACCCCCGGGCCCCCTTTTTTTTACCCTTTTTTAACCCCCCCCTCCCCCCTTTTTTTTTTTTCCCCCCCCCCTTAAAACCCCCTTTTTTCCCCCCCTTTTTTTTTTAAAAAACCCCCCCCAAAAAAACCCCCCCTTTTTTTTTTTTTCCCTTTTTTTTTTTTTTTTTTTGTTTTGGGGAAAAGGGGGGGGGGCCCCCCCTTTTTTTTTTTAAAAAAAAAAATTTAAAATTAAAAGGGGGAAATTTTTTTTTTTGTTGGGAAAGGGAAAAAAAAAAAAAATTAAAAATTTTTAAAGGGGTTTTTAAAAATTTTTAAAAAAAGGGGAAAAAAAAAATTTTCCCCAAAAAGGCCCCTTTTTTTTTTTTTTTACCCCTTTTTTTAAAAAAGGGGGGGGGGGGGGGAAAAAAAAAAAAAATTTTCCCTTTTTTTCCTTTTTTTTTTCCCAAAAAAATTTTTCCCCCCCCCTTTCCCCCGGGGGGGGGCCCCCCCCGGGGGGAAAATATATTATTATTATTATTTTTTATTATTATTATTATTATTATTATTATTATTATTATTTTATCAGTGGCGAGGGGTGTTAAACTTGTAGGAGTCTTGTAAATGGGAAGAAATCAGACTGGATCCAATGAGAGGGAAAGTAGCTTCAGGTGTTAGAAGGGGTCTTCTTTAACATAAGTGCACCCCTCTTGAGAGAAAATATTTCACAAACCTCGGACTGGAGATTCCTAACAGTAATGTTAGGTTTAAACTGCATATTTTCCTGTTAAATCGTTATGTATGACTCAGTACATGTTGTAAATTATATTTAACAAAAATATAATCCTACCTCTTCCATTAAGTTTAAAGCTGAATGGGAATCTAATGCCTTGCTTCCTTTCCTTGATGTCCATGTCCACTGCTCGGATGCAGGTTTTGCCTTTTCCATTTACCGCAGGCATATGCACAGTGGCATGTACATTCACTACTTTTCTTATCATGCTTCCTATGTCAAGAAAAGTGTTCTTATCTCTCTCTTTCTCTGTGCTCTCTGCATTTGTGATCCTCAGTTCCTTCAGTCAGAAATTTCCACTCTTCATAATTCATTTTCCCGTCTTGGCTACCCTTCCCATTTCATAGACTCTGCCTTCTCACGTGCTAAACGTAATTTCTTCTCTCCAAAACTCTCTACCCCTGGGAACTCTACTGTCCTCTGTCTTTCCTACATTTCCAGTCTTTCTAATCTCAACAACTCGCTCCATTCCTTTGACATCAAAATTGCTTTCCACCAGGCTAACACTCTTTGCACTAATCTCGTTCATACCTCTCCTCCCTCTACAGATGCTCCTGGTGTCTACTCTATTTCTTGTTCCTCCTGTCCTCTTCAATACTTTGGAGAAACTGGCCTATCTCTTTCTGACAGACTTAGGAAGCACAAAAGTAGTGTTAGGCTTGCTGACACTAACACTGCTCTTTTCTGTCACGTCAGAGATCACAGTCAATCTATTGACTGGTTTTCTGCTAAAACTGTCTTCCCTATTTCTAACTTCAACAGTCGCTGTCTGGTTGAATCCTTCCTAATACACAACTTTCATTGTATGAATCTTAGTCCTGGCTTCGTCTCTGTAGATGCCTTCCTTTCCCACTACATTGTAAAATGCTCCAAACTTCAGAACACCCATGACTTAACCTGATTCCTCTTTTTTTTTCTTCTCCCTCTTCCCCTTTCCCCTTTTCTTTTTCTTCTTTGGGTTGTCTTTCTTCTGCCTTGGGTATTTGCTCCTTCACTTATTTATTTACCCCCTTCCCTGTGTTCCTGCTCTTACCCTCTGTGGGCACATAACTCCCTTGCAGTGCTCCTCTTTCTTCGTATTTGACTGGCTCCACCTCCTCCTTAATACCTTCCCCACTACTACTACCTTCTACCTCCACTACTACTACTACTACTACTACTACCACCTCCTGCCTATATTTACTCCTTCCTCCTCTCCTTTTCATTAGAGTGACTGTAAATGGTCCAAGTCGGACCAAAACGTCATCGTAAGCTCCTCTCTTCTATGTGCGGGTTATTTGTGTATATTTATTTAGTTATGCTAGTGGAGGAGTGGGAGAGCCTTCTGCTTTACTTTTCTCTGTCTAGACAGGGACAAAATCATCAACTAGATAGTATATATTATTGATAATGGTAGAATTACTGACAATATGTTAGGTGAAAGGACAAGTGCAGTTAATATGATATTATACTGTGGCAACGTTTCGCTCTCCAGGAACTTTGTCAAGCTATTACGGCTTGACAAAGAGGGAGAGCAAAAGGTTGCCACAATAAAATGTCACATTAGTTCCATCTGTGTCTTTTTTACCTTTCTTTCTTTCAACACACTGGCTGTATCCCACCGAGGCGGGATGGCCCAAAAGGAAAAACGAAAGTTTCTCCTTTTACATTTAGTAATATATACAAGAGAAGGGGTTACTAGCCCCTTGCTCCTGGCATTTTAGTCGCCTCTTACGACACGCTTAGCTTACGGAGGAAGAATTCTGTTCCACTTCCCCACGGGGGTAAGAGGAAATAAACAAGAACAAGAATTAGTAAGAAAATAGAAGAAAACCCAGAGGGGTGCATATATATATGCTTGTTTATGTATGTGTAGTGTAACTTAAGTGTAAGTAGAAGTAGCAAGACGTACCTGAAACCTTGCATGTTCATGAGACAGAAAAATGGACACCAGCAATCCTACCATCATGTAAAACAATTACAGGCTTTCGTTTTACACTCACTTGGCAGGACAATAGTACCTCCCTGGGTGGTTGCTGTCTACCAGCCTACTACCTAAATTATTATTATTTATTATTATTATTATTATTATTATTATAGCATCTGTAGATGTTTTGAAAATATCATTATTACTGTAAAAGCTGTAAATTAACTCAAGAAATGTATTGTAGGTGTGACCATCCTCTCATTCTGTTCTATTATTATGTATAAAGTTCATTTTTTTATATCTGATTTTTTTTTTTTCTAATATTAGTTTTCACTGTAATAATTATTGTGAGTTGACCTCCTCTTTGTATAGAGATGCCTAAGAGTTAGCAGGATCAACCAGAGATACTGAGGAGAGGATATAGTGCTAAAGAGACCTTGAACAACCTAACCCTTGAGGATCAGGCTTGTAATCTGGGATTTGGAAAATCTCAGTAGCAGCCTGAAGAAGGAATGTATCGAGGCATTTAAAACAAGGGAGGTAACCCCCAGACAGCATGGTAAAGCAAGGGTGTTCCTTAGGAACTGTGTGGGGAGGTAGCTTTAATATCAGTAAGCAGGTCCTGCTATAATATTGGGGATGATCCTAAGACCTTAGGTGCCAACAATTTCAGATACCTTGAAATGTGTTTATTAAATTGTAAATGGTTTTATCTGGGTATGTTTTACTTATCCCTTTGAGCCATGTACATAAGGATCCCAATGGAAGTAAGTCACTCTGACTTTTTTGGGTTATCCCAGGTTCTCTACACATAAGCTGCTATGTATGATAATCTATGTAACTGTATTTGTGTACACCTGAATAAGCTTACTTACTTGTCCGAGGTTAAATTGAATAATATACTGGTATCATTTTTTTTTTTTTTGGAGAGTCAAGCCCCTGATGAGGCACCTACTGCTCAGTTTTAAGGGCAAGCTACCCTAAGAGCCAGTACTTGAAATTGAAATGTTTATTTCTCTCTAAAGATTACAATGTGGGGTTTACATATTATAAAATATGAATTATAAAGAAGGGCACTAGCACTAGCATGCCTAGGCATTTCGGGCAGACTAATACTAATTCTTATCAGGATCACTTTCTTATAACTATCCTGTATTATTTCTCCCTGGGTTTTCTCCTGCTCTAACCCAAACTCTGTATCTCCCTCCCCTTCTCCTATGACTATAGCTACTTTCATCTCTTCCTCTATTAAAAGAGCAGGTGGTGGCAGCACACTTCCAAGAGAACAGAGCACTACCTTCCGTTCTCTCAAATTCTAGAAATTTCCCTTTTATTACTTGTTTCTCCATATTTTCATACTTTTGTCCACTCTGAGTCTCTACCTGAGGGAACAGACAAGATGGCAACATCTGGTGCTCTGTCAACATCAGGGTGGGACTGGGGTGGAAGCTGCATTTCACTCTGACAAAAAGCTGCATCACAAGACACTAGTGCTGTTTCCTGAAGACCAAACCACTGCTTTGTGTTAACCTTCCATTCCTTGCCCTGCAGGTTGAAATCGATGACAACTGGGAAAACTGCTATGGTAATGCTGTCTTCAACCCTGACCGCTTCCCCGACCCCAAGGCCATGGTTGACCAACTCCATGTTCGTAGCTGTGATTTGTTATGTATCTCTCTCTCCTCTCTCTCCTCTCGTTCTCTCTTTCTTTCTCTCTTTCTTTCTCTCTCTCTTTTTTTTTTTTTTTTTTTTTTTACACAGGGTTTGACAAGGTTAAGGATCCCTAGCTTTATTGACAGCTATATTACAGGTTAAGGATTCCTAACTTTATTGGCAAGCTAAGAGCTGTTACCTACATCAGCTCATTTCTCTCTTCTCTCTCTTCTCTCTCTCTCTTTCTCTTTCTTTCTCTTTCTCTTTCTCTCTCTCTTTCTCTCTTCTTCTTTCTCTCTCTCTTTCTCTTTCTCTCTTTCTCTCTCTCTCTTTCTCTCTTTCTTCTCCCTCTCTCTCTCTCTCCTTCTCTCTTCTTCTCTCTCCTCTTTCTCTCTCTCTCTCTCTTTTCTCTCTCTCTTTCTCTCTCTCTCTCTTTCTCTCTTCTCTCTCTCTCTCTCTTCCTCTTCTCTCTTTCTCTCTCTCTTCTCCTCTTCTCTCTCTCTTCTTCTCTCTTCTTTCTCCTTTCTCTCTCTCTTTCTTCTCTTTCTCTCTTTCCCTCTCTTTTCTCCTCTCTTTCTACTCCTTTCTCTCTCTCTTTTCTCTCTTCTCTCTCTCTCTCTCTCCTTCTACCTCTAGTTCTCTCCTCTCTCATTTCTACTCTCTTTACCTCTTTTTTCTAACCCTTTTTCACAGGGTTTGACAAGGTCTAGGACCCTAGCTTTATTGACAAGCTACTTTACGTTAAGATTCTAACTTTTTGCAAGCCAAGAGCTGTTACCTACTAGCTATTCTAAGCATTTTTATTGTTTGAGACAGGTACAAGTAGGGAACTGATCCATTAGCCTCTTGTGGGCAAGCATTTTCATGTTGAAGGATCTGACTTTATCTGTGACTCATTAGCATAGAGTGTTTCCATACATCACTCATTTGGTATAAGCATCTCTAAATGATGAGATCTACAGATGGGTACAGCGATAAGTGAGCTTGCTGCTCTGCCTTTCATTGGGGCATAAAGCTGTTTCACACTGTCCTCGAAGTGGATCCAAGTGTGGTACTTTGACAATATTGGCCTTGTACATAACAGTAAGGCCACCCACATCCCTCCTATGTTGAAGGCTCTGCTGAAATGACAGATCTATCCAGGATGGGTCCAGGCGAGAGATGAGACGTCTTGCTCTGTTGTCTACTCTGTCAAGCAGTCGCAGATGAGAGGGGGGGCAGGGAAACCAAGAAAGTGGAGCATACTCAAGGTGTGAGCGTACTTGTGCCTCATACAGAATCTTGCAACCCCTACTGTAAAGCAGATGCGAGATATGGCGAAGTGCTGTAAGCTTCCTGGCTGCCTTGTTTGCAAGATTTACAACATGGTTCTTCATGGTTAGTTTGGAGTCAAATTTCACCCCAAGGAAAATCAACTTCTTCTCCAGGTGCCAACACCCTCCCATTCATCCTTACTACTGCACCAGCATTACCATCATGGTGCCTAGAGACAATCATCATTTGCATTTTCTCAGGTGCAAATGTTACTTGCCATCTATTTCCCCAAGCTGATATAGCTCTCAGCTGGTGATTGATGTAGCTTAGAGCAGCTGGCATTTCTTCTCTTGGATAAGTGAATGTCAGTGTACAGTCATCTGCACGTGCATGTGATTCTGGGATGAGATGAAGAAGGTCGTTGAAGTAGACATTCCATAACAATGGTCCCAGCACACTTCCTTGTGGAACACTTGCCCCAATAGGATGTCTTGCTGATTCCGTTCCATTGAGAACTACACTTAGAGATCTACCATGAAGGTAATCACTGAGGAGACATAGCGTAGAGCTTGCAATTCCCAGTGCTTAAAGTTTACTAAGAGGCCCTGGTGCCACACCTGGTCGAAAGCACCAGCATTGTCCAGTGCTACCACACAGCTGACTTTGGATTCATCCAGTGACTGGTGCCACTTAGTGGAGAGGTTTAACAACAGATCAGCAGCAGAGTAACCTTTCCTGAAGCCATATTGACGATCACAAAGTAGTGAGTGATAGTCAAAAAACTCTGTCATTTGTCTTGAGATTATTGTCTCAAGGATCTTACCAGTGATTGACAGGAGTGACACTGGTCTGTAGTTGCTGATTTCTGCTCTGCTCTTCTTTTTGTGAACAGGGACTACATTTGCCTCTTTCCATAGAGAGGGCCATTTACACTGTACTAGGCAGTGCTGAAAGATGCCAGCTAGAGGTGCTGCTAGCTGGTCTGCACATCTTCTCAGCAATCTTGGGCTCAATTTGTCTGGGCCCACGGCCTTTTCTTGGTCAAGCGATTTAAGAAGGAAATGCACCTCCTCCTGCCTTACTGCCACCACTGACAGTTTTGACACAATTCTTGCAGCTAGCCAAGGAGGGTCCCTTGCTGGATCAGGAACTTGCATTTTGGTAGCAAAGTGTTCAGCAAAGAGGTCCGCCTTCTCTTGACTACTAGTAGAGGTGGTCCCATCCTGTCGATTTAGAGGTGGAATGGGTTCATCAGGCAGATAACCTTGTCTGCCCTTGACCAGGAACCACCAGGTTTTGGAGCCTACCCTATCTGATGCTAGTTTTCTTTTAGTGTCCACCTCCCATTTAGCAATGGCCCACTTTTGAACATCACCCATATGCCTACAGGCTTGCCTGTGCAAGTTCCTGTTATAGGTGGTAGGATGTCTCTTATACCTTTGCCATGCCTTGTACTTAGCAGTAGCAGCCTCTCTACAACGAAAGCCAAACCAAGACTGATCTATTTCTACCTCTCTATTTCTCTCTCTCTATTTCTCTCTCTCTATTTCTCTCTCTATTTCTCTCTATTTCTCTCTCTATATTTCTCTCTCTCTCTTTCTCTCTTTCTCTCTCTCTCTCTCTCTCTCTCTCCATACTATTTTGTTTTTCCTAACAGAAATGGAAAAAATTAATTTAGACTGACAACATGCAAACTAATGTTGTGTTGCCTCATTGACAATGTTTTAGAAAAGAAAGTATTCTGCTCAGAAGACACTGTAGTTGCATCACTGTGTGTTAGCTACAAAACAAAGGTACTTCAATATGTCGCCACCATTGTGACTACAGTCATATTTTATTTCCTAGAATTACAGTGCATTCATTCATCTGTGGAATTACATCTTATTTTGCACATTTTGAGGAAAGCTCCTTGCTATGTCAAGCATTTTGGGCTATCCACTTCGCCTTTGCAGAGCGAGGGTTTCCGGGTGACTTTGTGGATTCACCCCTTCATTAACGACAATTGTGAAGCCTTCGAGTACGCTGACCAGCATGGTTACTTTATCAAGGTCAGTGTTGAGGGTGTAACATTGTTAAAAGGTCAGGTCTGGCTCACACAGGGTGAATAGGAAAGTCTTTTCACACAGGGTTAATTAAGATCAGGTCTGGCTCACACAGGGTTAAGATCAGGTCACACATGGTTATGGGTCAGGTTAATGTCAGCTCTGGTTCATGTAGGGTTAGGATTAGGTCTGATTCACATAATGTTATTATCAAGTCTGGTTCACATAGGGTTAAGATGAGGTCTGGAGCACTTTGGAAGTCTCACATTTTTTGAAAAATCTCATTTTCTCTTCAAAGATATCCAGGTGTTTCACATTCAAATTTGGTTTCTTTTTGAGTAGCACATACTTTTTTCTGTATGCAAATATACATCTGTATTGTTTATTATTCCTTTAAACTTCCTATTTGGTATAAACCTCGGTAATAGATATCGTTTGTTCACATGTCTTTTTAAACTAAACTTCCTATTTAACCCAAAGGACTCTGAGGGCCAAACCCAGAAGACGCACTGGTGGCAGGGGTCCAGCGCTGGTATCATTGACTTCAGTAATGAGGAGGCAGTAGCGTGGTGGTCCCAGCGGCTGCTCGACCTCAGGGAAAAAGTTGGGATTGACAGCTTCAAATTCGATGCCGGGGAAGCTTCCTGGCTTCCCGATGTGTACACTCTCAGTGTCGATGAGAGGTTCTGGCCCAACGCTTACACCCAGAA